TTTTTGCAATTGCTTTAACATGCTTATTCTTTGAAATAAAAAAAATTGTAAAAAAACTTTAAGTTTTTTTTGTTTCCAGGGAATGGATTGCTGCAGTGATTATCCAATTGGCTTCCATTACATTAATCCAACAATGATGCACAACATGTATTACTTGTTTTATAAAACAAAGGTGGATCTAACATTTCATAAACAGCGTGTCGTTCAAAGTTGAGAAGTTACACAGTCATATCTGTATATCTTAGTTCAACATGTTCGATTTTAGAATAAAACACATTGGCCTACTATAAATGTGAAGCCCTACATTTTGCTCTTATTTAATATAAGACGATTCATTGATTTTATTATTTCGATAGCGGGATAACATATATTGTCAGAGAGATTTCGCAACACACTTAGAGCGTGTTTATAAGGGGTTTATAATATCAAGTCAATACATATTAATATATATTTCGGATGGTGCTCTTGGCAGAAATAATCTGTAACTTATTAATTCCCCATTACAATCTTGTTTAATTGAATTATGTATATACTGTAATTGTAATGCTACGAACCTGAATTCCTGATATAAAAATTTATTTAAAAAGAGAAACAATATTTATGGCAAGTTTAAAGCGTGTGTTAATTGCTTATAAAACGTTGTTTAATGGTATAAGTGAGTAAATACTTATCTCGTTTAGACATAGTTAATTATTGGTAGAGAATAATAGTGATATTTAGCATGAAGTCATATTACAACCCGATCTTTTAAGAAGGAATTTGGATGAGAAAATAATTCATTCTTGGAGAAATGAAAAGATCTCCATTACTAAATGTTCCGATTACTTGACAACTGCAACATATTACAAATCCCTGACATTTCAATGATCGATATTTCAATTTCAAGTTGTCGTAAGTTAATTTGTGTTTTCGCCATCAATGTAATAAGGTTTATTACACTGAAAATACAGCATATCATGTCTACTAACAGTGAATGTAATAAAGTTTATTACACTGAAAATACAGAATATCATGTCTACTAACAATGTAATAAAGTTTATTACACTGAGAATACAGCATCATGTCTACTAACAATGTAATAAAGTTTATTACACTGAAAATACAGCATATCATGTCTACTAACAATGTAATAAAGTTTATTACACTGAAAATACAGCATATCATGTCTACTAACAATGTAATAAAGTTTATTACACTGAGAATACAGCATCATGTCTACTAACAATGTAATAAAGTTTATTACACTGAAAATACAGCATATCATGTCTACTAACAATGTAATAAAGTTTATTACACTGAGAATACAGCATCATGTCTACTAACAATGTAATAAAGTTTATTACACTGAGAATACAGCATCATGTCTACTAACAATGTAATAAAGTTTATTACACTGAAAATACAGCATCATGTCTACTAACAATGTAATAAAGTTTATTACACTGAAAATACAGCATATCATGTCTACTAACAATGTAATAAAGTTTATTACACTGAAAATACAGCATCATGTCTACTAATAATGTAATAAAGTTTATTACACTGAGAATACAGCATCATGTCTACTAACAATGTAATAAAGTTTATTACACTGAAAATACAGCATCATGTCTACTAACAATGTAATAAAGTTTATTACACTGAAAATACAGCATCGTGTCTACTAACAATGTAATAAAGTATATTACACTGAAAATACAGCATCGTGTCTACTAACAATGTAATAAAGTTTATTAGACTGAAAATACAGCATCGTGTCTACTAACAATGTAATAAAGTATATTACACTGAAAATACAGCATCGTGTCTACTAACAATGTAATAAAGTTCATTACACTGAAAATACAGCATCATGTCTACTAACAATGTAATAAAGTTTATTACACTGAAAATACAGCATCGTGTCTACTAACAATGTAATAAAGTTTATCACACTGAAAATACAGCATCGTGTCTATAATGTAATAAAGTTTATTACACTGAAAATACAGCATCGTGTCTACTAACAATGTAATAAAGTTTATTACACTGAAAATACAACTTCGTGTCTACTAACAATGTAATAAAGTTTATCACACTGAAAATACAGCATCGTGTCTACTAACAATGTAATAAAGTTTATCACACTGAAAATACAGCATCGTGTCTACTAACAATGTAATAAAGTTTATCACACTGAAAATACAGCATCGTGTCTACTAACAATGTAATAAAGTTTATTACACTGAAAATACAGCATCGTGTCTACTAACAATGTAATAAAGTTTATTACACTGAAAATACCGCATCGTGTCTACTAACAATGTAATAAAGTATATTACACTGAAAATTCAGCATCGTGTCTACTAACAATGTAATAAAGTTTATTACACTGAAAATACAGCATATCATGTCTACTAACAATGTAATAAAGTTTATTACACTGAAAATACAGCATCATGTCTACTAACAATGTAATAAAGTTTATTACACTGAAAATATAGCATATCATGTCTACTAACAATGTAATAAAGTTTATTACACTGAAAATACAGCATCGTGTCTACTAACAATGTAATAAAGTTTATTACACTGAAAATACAACTTCGTGTCTACTAACAATGTAATAAAGTTTATCACACTGAAAATACAGCATCGTGTCTACTAACAATGTAATAAAGTTTATCACACTGAAAATACAGCATCGTGTCTACTAACAATGTAATAAAGTTTATCACACTGAAAATACAGCATCGTGTCTACTAACAATGTAATAAAGTTTATTACACTGAAAATACAGCATCGTGTCTACTAACAATGTAATAAAGTTTATTACACTGAAAATACCGCATCGTGTCTACTAACAATGTAATAAAGTATATTACACTGAAAATTCAGCATCGTGTCTACTAACAATGTAATAAAGTTTATTACACTGAAAATACAGCATATCATGTCTACTAACAATGTAATAAAGTTTATTACACTGAAAATACAGCATCATGTCTACTAACAATGTAATAAAGTTTATTACACTGAAAATATAGCATATCATGTCTACTAACAATGTAATAAAGTTTATTACACTGAAAATACAGCATCATGTCTACTAATAATGTAATAAAGTTTATTACACTGAGAATACAGCATCATGTCTACTAACAATGTAATAAAGTTTATTACACTGAAAATACAGCATCATGTCTACTAACAATGTAATAAAGTTTATTACACTGAAAATACAGCATCGTGTCTACTAACAATGTAATAAAGTATATTACACTGAAAATACAGCATCGTGTCTACTAACAATGTAATAAAGTTTATTAGACTGAAAATACAGCATCGTGTCTACTAACAATGTAATAAAGTATATTACACTGAAAATACAGCATCGTGTCTACTAACAATGTAATAAAGTTCATTACACTGAAAATACAGCTTCGTGTCTACTAACAATGTAATAAAGTTTATTACACTGAAAATACAGCATCGTGTCTACTAACAATGTAATAAAGTTTATTACACTGAAAATACAACATCGTGTCTACTAACAATGTAATAAAGTTTATTACACTGAAAATACAGCATCGTGTCTACTAACAATGTAATAAAGTTTATTACACTGAAAATACAGCATCGTGTCTACTAACAATGTAATAAAGTTTATTACACTGAAAATACAGCATCGTGTCTACTAACAATGTAATAAAGTATATTACACTGAAAATTCAGCATCGTGTCTACTAACAATGTAATAAAATTTATTACACTGAAAATACAGCATCGTGTCTACTATCAATGTAATAAAGTTTATTACAATGAAAATACAGCATTATGTCTACTAACAATGTAATAAAGTTTATTACACTGAAAATACAGCATCGTGTCTACTAACAATGTAATAGAGTTTATTACACTGAAAATACAGCATCGTGTCTACTAACAATGTAATAAAGTTTATTACAATGAAAATACAGCATTATGTCTACTAACAATGTAATAAAGTTTATTACACTGAAAATACAGCATCGTGTCTACTAACAATGTAATAAAGTTTATTACACTGAAAATACAGCATCGTGTCTACTAACAATGTAATAAAGTTTATTACACTGAAAATACAGCATCGTGTCTACTATCAATGTAATAAAGTTTATTACACTGAAAATACAGCATCGTGTCTACTATCAATGTAATAAAGTTTATTACAATGAAAATACAGCATTATGTCTACTAACAATGTAATAAAGTTTATTACACTGAAAATACAGCATCATGTCTACTAACAATGTAATAAAGTTTATTACACTGAAAATACAGCATCGTGTATACTAACAATGTAATTAAGTTTATTACAATGAAAATACAGCATTATGTCTATACTTGTAATTTATATTCGGTAGAGTTTACGAATTTAGAATATAAATAATTTCTATAGTTATTGTGGGGTGTAGTACATGTATTTGTCGTGAAAATCGAACACGATTTTGATCCAGCTGCGAGCTGCATTGTTATTAGCTGTTTAGTGAGTTGTGTTGTTAGGTTTGTACACATCATTCTGGCTCTTGGCTCCGCAAGGTAAATTCCTTTCATTACTAGACTTTATATCACACAGTCGATAGGTCCAAGAGTTGTTGCATACCTTTTAGGCCTTGCAATTAAGAGCTCCTCAAAATTTTGAGGTTTTAATGGTGTAAACAACTCCGAAAATCAATCGACTTAATTAGAACTAATTTTGCAGAAGGAGTCCATTTTAATGGAATATTCATAAGTGTCTAATGTCTTGCGTGCAACTCGTTCTTTTAAAACAGCGTGTCTCGCCTACGTATTGTGTTACTGTCCATGTTTGCATGTACCTGAATTACATCACATTGCAATAAACTGTACTGCGGCCACAAGCCATTGCTTTTCTTGAATTACTGTTATGTTCTTTGTAACGTAGCCTGATAATTGGTATAGAATAACACTTTAGGTCCTGTTTGATTAAATAATATAAAAATATGAAAATGTGTTAAAATGAGGGAAATCGTTGGAATTGTTGATTTTTCACAATTCTAACAAATAATTCTCCTAATAACATTGGAAAGAGTTCTTGTGCAATTAAGTTTGAACTTTGAAAGCACATTCATTTTACTTCTGAATTCAATTGAAGTGTGTACAGCACATATATTGCAAACATCAATATTTTCGCGAATATTAAATCATTTTATCTCCTTATCGTTCTTTTAGTTGGTATACGTCCATGGTTAAAATACCTACTAGGCCTAGATGTACTTAAATTCATCAGCGGTATAAAATCTACATAACGAGAGAATTTGGGAAGTTAGGCCTACAATTCATTGTTATATATTCTAGATCTATGCGATCACATTGAGGTAAAATTATTACATTATAAATCGATATTTCTTGATTGCAGTGAAATTACAGTATTACTCTACTGCTTTGCATGACGATTGCAGGATTGGATTTATGACCTCTTCAAGCTGATCAAAACTGTCGAGATTGTATCGGTTTTCTTTCCCCTCTGATGGGATCGCTGCGAATTCTTTCTCTCTTGTGACTCTCAATTTTTCCAATTCAGCTCGTGACACCCCTCTTCCTTTCTCTCCTTTCGAATTGGGAAGCACTAATAAAACTACCGTAGGTGCAGAAACTCCTGGTTCGTAGCTCTTTGGGTCTTTCAGTCTCTTGGCTTCCGCTATAGTAGTAGGTGACTTGTCAAGTGGGTTAGTAACGCCATCAGTCATCACCATAACCACAGCCTAAAAGTAAAACTTTTAGTGTGTCACATAGTAAAATAGCCTAAAATTAAACATGCATCTAAAAGATTTATCGAAAAATGAATGGCCGTCATGTAATTCACCCTGCGTGCCAAAAATAATATCAGATGTTGGTTATCGTCTGCCCTTGAATCTAAAAGTTGAACGGATGATTCGCGTTTTTTGAAATTTTGATGGCAAGGTTTATCGATATATAGAGAAAATATTAGAATGGCAATCAACAGATGTTGGATGAAAAACTTTTCTATAAATATATGCTATCAAGAAGAATACGAAGCAAATCTTACTTTTTTATCTTTCCTTCGTCCTTTTGAAGTTGTTAAATGTACTTCTCTAGCCTCTTTTAAAGCGAGGTATGTAGATGTACCTTTCTTTGGAAGTGTCTCCATATTTTTTATTGCCTTTATCATCTACATAACAGAAATTACAGATATATACACTAATAGAATCATATTTGCAAGAAGATTGGCAGGCTTTGGAGAAAATTATAAGGATATGGCTAGATTTCAACCAAACATCAATATTTCACCAAGGCTGCAGAATCATTTCACGTTTTCTGTTGCTTTTTACATTTAGAGATTGACCGTCAGGCCCGTAGCTAGGGGGAGCCAGCGGGGGTTCGATTCTTACAAAATGAAGCTGTTTCTCACCATTCTGAGTGATTTTGGCCATTTTGGGCCAAAGTTGGCAAAATAGACCCCCTCCTTTTTTTAAAGAAATTAACTCCTTGGCAAATCTTGGCTAGTATTATTACTACCATTTATGCCCAGGGCTGAAATAGCAAGAACGGACTGCCACTGAACAAAAATTATACGCAATTACAGTTGGCAATTAAAGGGGCAACAAGGACTGTAGAGAGAAATTTTTTCATTTTTTCTGAGCTATCAGGTCAATAAATGGCTTTACACCTTCTTTGACATACCTATTTTCTTAAAATGTATTGATTAACTATTAATTTCAGCATTAAGAAGTCTAAATTCTGTTTCTATGGGAGTCCCACTTATCGATTTGTAAGATTCACCACGTTTCAAGAGGAATATCAGCTATAGCTGAAATAATGTTCATCCAGGAGGTTTCTTTGTAGGTTATGAAAATATATGTTAGTCTTGATGAAATATTCAAACATATATTTTGAAACTGGTCGATGGTCATTGAATGCCCCCCCCCCCCCTACAGTAATTGTTGCACCTTTAATGATATCTAGTTTCCTTTCCCGGGGAACATTGCCGGGCTGTAAATCCGATATTGGCCCGCCACTTTGGCCCGCCATTGTGACTACACATATTGCTCAGGTCAATATCATAAGATAAAATCCTTCCAAACTAAGCATTACTACCTAAAACAGGCCCGGCAAGGTGGTAATACATACATTATCTTTTTCTTCAAACCGATCAGACAGCTGATAAACTTACTGAGCTTCCAGCGTTGTACGTGCTGAATTCCAGAAACGAGTGAGTTGAAGCCCCATACGTCGATCCTGATAGCAATGTAAATGCAGGTCCCAGCTTAAGTTTTTTCACAAGATTCAAGATAAAGGACCGAACTTTCATTTTGTTAACGTCACTGATGGAAAATGACATGTCGACGACAAAATTTAGATCAATGCCACAAACCTCTGTTACTGAAATTGCTGAAATAAACGAATGTACACATCTTTCATCTTTATAATAGTATATAGGCCATGATCCAAAATCTAACAGTATCGTCCGATAGTTTTCGGAATTGGACTCCTTAAAAAATTAAACAAATATGGTACATGTAGTTATCAATTTAAACGTGAAACAGGAGTAAGAATATTTGGTTCACCATACAGATTTTGACTTACGTAAACCCTTTTCCGCTAATGATAATCTACAATACGGAAGTGGTTTGGAGCAAGGTAATGTCTGAGATGTGAGTGTGTTTTCAAATTTGTCAGAGACTCCCTGTCCATCCGGGCATCTCACCAATTCATATTTGCTATCAAAGCACTCTAAATAAGAACACGATGTTTCGGCATACTTGTATCGTGTACCAGAAGTGCATTCTGAAAAAAGAATAACACATTCAAACAATCAAGCAAACAAATCCCCCAAATATTATAATTAATTATCCGGTTTCGAATGTCCCCACTCGCGATCTTTTAAAATCATGACAATGTTTCCTTACAGTACGTCCCTCCAACATCTGAGAGTGTCGCTTATTTTTATAAGAATATGCTTCTCTAACTACACAATTTAGGACGAGTTGAGATGTAATAACTATCCACAAACTTGTCCCCAATATGATCAAATCTTTTGTAGTCCATAGCCTGACATTTACCCCTTTCTAGGAATGATTATAATGGATCATCTTGGGACCGCGAATTTTTCTAAGCATATGAGACCAATATAAACGACATTTGCCGAGTTTGACATATAGGCAGCTGCTTAAATCTTATGTTCGGCATCCCCCAATGCTATCTTCAGAATTCCCCCAAACTGTCGGGGCTTTTCAGAAATAATCTTGTGTACTGAAATTATTCATGCGTTCTTTTGACAAAAAAAGGTATGAACTCAATCGATCTTATATTTAACAATTATTAGGGAAATCTTGGTTTGAACAATTATGTTATTTTATCTTGAGTAAACCTAGAACTTTTTTGACCTTTCAGATATAGCATTAACATCCCATTCTCACATACTAATCATCACACCAACACGTTTTGTACATAAAATAGCATTTAACTGTCTGTCATTTGTCTGGCCAATATATAATGTAAAACATCGACGAATAAAATATTCTTAGTTAACCCGCTAATGGCTCCTCCAATGAGGATTGTTGGCTCTGTCTTTGAGTGTAAAACACGTAAAATACGGAAATATTACAAATAATCGCCAAAATATGGCAGTAACCAAAATATTTACAAAAAACACCACCTGTACTAGAGATACTTGAACACGTGATTTGAAGAACAATTGATACTCATTAATGCCCCTTATGTATTTTGAAATTAAATTATATTGCATCTCGTTAATTGCATTTAAATATGTAACGTTTACTCGAGTTGATAACGTACAATTCTCATCTTTTAGATTAGCCAATTCAAAACGTCAATAGAATTTATATTCCATCTTCCTCCGTCCTAAATTGTGTAGTTATAGAAGCATATTCTCATAAAAAATAATCGACACTCAGACGCTAGGGAAAAAATGAATAATGAAAATGTGAACATAACCAACATTTTTCAATCGGCCAATTATGTGGTCGGAATTACTTAGAACACTGTTAACCTGCTAACTAGAAGGTTAGAAGTCTTGTCAGGAGAAAACACTTCAACATTTTTCTCAGATAAATCTTTTAAATTAACCTCACTGTTTTTGCTTCGAATCGTTAACATATGACAACGTACAGCTAAATAGTATGTAACGGTATATTTTGTTGATGGTAAGGCGTGATAAAACTGATTCTAAAGTTAGAATACATAGTGATCTTGTCACTTTCTGTCAATATCAAACCAATCAAATTGAGTGACACATTATTAATTTGATTTTCCGCTAATTTAGTTGGAGTCTACATTTTTGCGATCGCATGCGGTAAACTACCATTTACTAAATGCGATCTGCGTTGCGACAAGCCTGTAATAAGACGCAACGCAAACGCAAATCTTGCGAAGAGCCCGTGACAAGGTCTCCGTTCTACTCACCTACACCACGGTCGCTCATATCATTCAAGACATCGCTGAATGTAAATTGCCCCAATCTGTCTGAAATAAATTTATAATTTGCCATAACGTTTACACTAAGAACGTTTTCAGGGATGTGTCAGGCAAATTCAGGATCACTTTTTGACACACGCTTCAAAAAATAAATTGCATATATGTCCGTAAACAACTTGATTTGTTATATCATTCTTTTTTACACATATTGTGACTTTTAGATGGCAGTTGTAGAGAAAGCGTCAACATGGCCCTGTTCTGGACAATGTAGTATAAAAATCTTGATTAGAGATCCTAGTAGGAGACAAGACATTTCTATATTATTATTCATTTTTTATACTAACTGAATGCTTTCGTGAGTCTAGCATCGGTCCCCAAAGCGCATACCAGCATAGCGAGTGCATGGAAAATGTAGGTCCCCATCTCTGAAGAGTAAAGAATGTCCTGTGACCATTTCCTCCATGGGAGTACACGACTTTACACATTTATTACACATGGACAAGCATAGTCAAAATATGTTTAACATAGCCGATTAACCATTTCATTAAGATCAAGATTTTCTGAATATAGTAATTGCATAAATACCTGGTATAATAATAATTTTTCTAAAAAAAATCTTGATTTATTTATTCTAAGCAAACACAAAAGCAGTTTTTTAACTTGTGCGTTATTTGATCTATAGTGTTACTTTTTTATTCCAATATTAAAGTGATATTGGAAGGGAAATAAAGTTTTCACAATTTTTGTTATCAATGATGTAAAACTATGAACAAGTCCTTGCATTTCCAACATACCTTTAAAATAATTTTCAATCAATTAACAAATGTTCTACTCTAAAGAAAACTTCTTACCTAGCGTATCTCTTGAATGAAGTTCTCGGTGGTATATTTCTTGAGTTTCTTATGGAGTGTCCGATTAGGTCAAGAAGAAATGGAACAGCGAAGACCTAACGACATTGTCGTAGTATTTATATAATTGATCAAAATATTGGATTAATTTTGCAAACATTAGTGACATAGATTTATGGGCATCAATCAACTCCTGAAATGTTTATCTCAGTCGTGTTTATGTGTTCTTATTCTCGATATGTTTACATAAATCTTAACACAATATTTAGATGGTGTGCCACAAGGCTGCGCCGATCTGCATAACAGATTAAATATAACTAAAAGAAGAATCGGTGATGGAGAAGCTTTCCATAGAGTCTGCCTTAGCTTGTATTCGCAAATGCAACTTTCGACTGTCAGCTTCCAGGCTCGCCTATTAATTTCATAAATTGACCCATCATTTTGAAGTTGAAATAACGACAACCTGAATAAGCAAATAGACCGTAGGTCTTGTTACTTTCTGCTAAAACGACAGATTCACCCGTTATTTAGGTCAGCGGTTGGGTTTGATGCGATAGATTGCAGCTACCGGAATACACCCGGTAGCCGCTAGCCGTTCGCGAATACAAAATTAAAAATTTATTTTAACTAAAAATTAGGAAAAACTATAAATTTGACCTAGATTTTGACTTAGGCCTTTTTGTGTCCAAATTTTAAAGCAAAGAAGATTTTGATGTCAACTTCTATTGTATCCAGTCTGAATCTCGTTTTTCTATAATTCACCAATTTCTTCAGCCCAATTGACTTAACATCGGATACCAAAATAGCGATTTCATAACTTTTTTGTTGACCTACTTTTTAACACTAATTTCTAAAACGGTAAAGGTAATCAAAAATGACTTGCCTTTCGGACTTGATTTTTTCCCAAGAAACATGATGAAAAAACTAGGAGCAAAAATGTTGAAGGACAACTGAGAAAACTGATTTGACCTTTGACCTAGATAGAAATTTGACCTAATTTAACAGAAACCCAGGAAGATTCCCTTGTTAACCATGTAAGTTGATTTAAGTAAGCTGTTTTAGTTGGTGAGAAATTTGGGTAGGAGGGAGGAAGAAAGTAAGAATAAAGAAAACAGGCAAAAGCAACAGACTCCAGATTTTCTTAGTTATAGATAAAACCTATCCATCATTTAAATACAGACAATAAATTACAAATATGAGTCGGTTGGCTTGAACTATAGATTATCATTAATCTCCGATCAGATACCACTCCGACAATATGCCACTTAAAATATGAGTTTGACTGATATCTACGACATTTAACGCGGTTACTTGGTTATAATCACCCAGTAATTTATTCAAGATTTAAAAAACGTTACTTTTGAAGACATTAAAAATGTGTCTATTTCAATCTATAAACCTAAATAGGACATCCGCACTGTGGTTCAATGATTATTATATAAGTGCAGTTAGTATTTAGTAACCCATAGATCCCAATCAAAGCAATTCAAATTAAATAATCTTCGTGGAGTTTGACGGAATGCATCAATCACTCTTTCTCAGAGTCTGGTTTTAAACTAGACGAAGCTCTCTTTTAAGAGCTAAGTCAAACGAAAGGAAAGTGTATGGTTCTCAAAGCGATCTGTCCACAATGACAGCATTGTATTTTCCATATGCAAACATAACTTCAATTTTTGATAAGGTCCAGATTTCTTTACATTATTTTTCTATAAGTCGTATCCTGTGTAGCATGCATCAATGTAGTCGATCATGATTTAGTTCAAAGAATAAGTATATTGACACAGACAATGAATAAAACATAATGTATCTATGAGAGAAGATGGGAGAAGATATACAGGGTGGTCCAAAAAAAGTGAACCCCTGCAACGGGCCATATTTCCCTTATTCCCTTCATGAATCCTTTCATATTTTCACATGTTGTAGAGAAAGGTCTTAAGTTTTTGTTGGTACCATGCATTTTTCTTAGTCTTGCAATTTGCAGAAATTATAAGCCCTAACCAAATGTTACTGAAAATGGATAAAATGTGATTTTCAACATCCTCAATTCTTAAACCCTTCAACACCCTTTCACTTATAATTTTATTAGCTGCAGTCAAAATGAACTAATATTTTTTAACTTTGTTTGGTTTTGAATCGCGCACATTATGGCATAAAAACTAGCATCCTACCTCTGATAGTTGCAAAGATATTGTGATCCAAAGAAATGTTCTAAGTTTCCATGGATGAAAACTTTTTCCAGTTAAATCGCAACATACCCCTATATGATCTTGAAATGTCAATATCTTCATTAATCATGGACCAATTCTAATGAATTATGGCTCAAAACATTGAATATTAGATTTTCTTTTGATTTTCTAAAGTTATTTGATGAAGGGCTTCTCGGATTCTAGGTCACAGGGGGCAACTTTGTCCCCCTCTAACCATTTGTGTGGGTAACATGCCCCTTAACTGTTGAACAGTTAAAACTGCTTCAAAATGATCAATGAACGTGTGAAATGTGTTTTCTGCTCAAATAGTATCCCATATGTCATATGGTAGGGTTTCAAACTTGTATTTTAACTGAAAGCTGTTTTAAGAATAACTTACGTGTTTCGACAATTTCCACGAATTACAATGGTAAAATTCTGCACAGTCCAATTTTCAGGCATGTTTGTTTAAGTCTTGTAATTTCTTCAAAATTTAAGACTGAGGATAAATTATTGTATCAACAAAAATTTTAGACATTTCTCTACAACATGTGATAATATGAGGCAATTTATGCAAGTATTAAGGAAAATATAGCCTGTTGCAGGGGTTCACTTTTTTTGGACCACCCTGTAGAACATATCCTCTAAAATGCGTAAATGAACGTTTATAAAAGACAACACAATATAATATATATAAGATTATATTATAGATATATTAAAGTGTCCCTTATTACAATATAATCATTAAACATACATTTGGCTTCAACCCAGTCATTCGTTTGCCGAAAACATCAGCCTTTACCAACTATTATGTGATGTAAAATACAATTTCCGTTAGATTCTTGATGAGTAAATTCAATTGTGAAATTAGTCTAAGTGTTAGATCACAGGCTGGTATCGAAAAGTTTCATATTATTTTCAATTTTCAATTTTCAATTTCAATTTCAATCATATTCAAAAAACAAACAAACAAACTCCCAAAAATCCTAATTATTTGTCCAGAGTATGAAGACACGGTGTCCAAGGTCCTCGGAAAAGCTGCTCGTGTAAATATAAACAGAATGCTGCCCTCTCCTCATATACTATAGCTGCTTATATTGCTGACATGTAGGATTCTGCTCAAATGTTAATTTTACTTTTTCCAGATCTGCTCATGAATACACTGCTTTGTAGTGCTAGAAAACTGCTAGCTGCTGCATACGGCTTACATAAACTCCCCTCCATAAGTTTGGCAACCTTAGCTCCCCCATTGAACTACATGTAAAAGCCTCTTTACGTTTGAATTTTTATTTACTTAACCTGCGATGAAATAACTTACAATATTGATGGAAACGTAACTTGACTTTATTTCCAATACCTCCAAATTTTCTCATTTTTTCTCAATTACGTGATAAGACAACAGGATATCAGAGAAAGAGACATGAGGGAGGGAATTAGCTATTGTCTATAATGAAGTCAAGTATCAGTGAAATGGCTTTAGAGTTTACATCTATGCTTAAGTTTGGGCTTCCTGTTTTCAAAATGGAGATAAAATCATACTGGGGAAGATTATTATCGAGAGAAGGTTCTAATTCAGCAAGTTTATCCCAGAGATCCTGTCTTACTAAGGTTAAGCGATTGCACTGGAAAAGAATATGCTTTAAGGTTTGAGAGCTGCCACAAGCACAATTAGGGCTGTCAACAGAGTTAAAATTATGGGCATAAAATTGAGCTTTAAAAAATAAGTCAGCTCTTACTTTACTTACCACTACCTCATGCCGCCTAGAAAGATTGAGTTGACTTGTGGTCAAAATTTTAAAGGGGTTTTGGAGGAAAAGCCGTTGATGTTTTTTGAAATTATGAAGAGTTTTCTTGGTTTTAATAGAAGGGGGGAGCTCTAGGCATTTTGAGATTGCAGAAGGTATTGCTGAGGATGAAAATCTAGCAGAGCATAGTGTAATATAGACTATCGAGTCTTCGCAAAAGAAATTTAGAAGCTGTACCATATAAAATGGCACCATAATCAAAGTGAGGAAGAATGAATGAGTTGAAGATTGTTTCTAGGTGCTTGCTCCCAAGCTTGAATTTGAGTTTCTTTATTGGGTTTAACATTTTTCTTATTTTGACTAGTAAATCATCAATATGCTTATCATAAGATAAACATGGGTCAAAAATGAGTCCTAAATGTTTGTGCTCGGTATCTCTTTTGATTTCTATATTGTTTAGTTTTGAAGTTGACACATTATCAGTTTTTGTTCTAGGTGAGTGGAAAATCATCTCGGAACTCTTCTCCGGTTTAAAATCAAGTTTCCAAGTGTAAGACCATTCTTCTACTTCAATTAGATTGGATTTTACCACTGCTTCTATTTGTTGTGGTTGTTTTGGGTCAAAAGGATGGTGTAATGAGGTATCATCTGCATAAATGTAGCAATGACCATCCAGATTGCCTGAAAGGTCATTAATATATATTAGAAAAAGTATTGGCCCTAGTATTGAGCCCTGTGGGACACCGCAGTTTATAAAATTAGTTTCTGAGTAATTGGAGGTCTCACCAGAAATTTGAACAGCAATTTTCCTGTTGGTAAGATAAGATGTGATAATTTTAAGGATTTGACCTTGAAAACCATACGCCTTTAGTTTATGGAGGAGTAACGAGTGCGGAACCCGGTCAAAAGCGGCGGCTACGTCCAAAAATATTGTTTTGGAGGCTTGTCCTTGTTCAAAAGTAGTTTGAAGAAAATGCTCGATAGATAAAAGTTGATGAATGGTGCTATGACTAGGTAAAAATCCGGACTGATACTTAAAACGAAGATCATTGTCAAGTAAGTGTTTTCTGATTCTGTCAGCAAGAACCTTTTCAAAAACTTTGGATATGGAGCTTAGGAGAGTGATAGGTCTGTAGTTATTAGCATTTGATTTATCTTTTTTTTAAAGATTGGACAAACATTGCCTATTTTCCAAATATCTGGATAAGTGCATTTAGTTAGAAGTTTATTAAATAATATGGTAAGAGGTTCTGAAATGGTATGAGCTGTAAGGTTTTGACACACTTCAATGAATAAATAATGAAGTATGTTTTTCTAACACAGCATGCATGGAACTGTTTCATAAACAGACTAACAATTTGAACACTTCAGTGTTTATATAACTACAGTAGAACCTGTGGTAGTTGAACACTGTGTTTTTGCATCACGATACTCCCCAGTGTTGACTGATTACACGCCAGCTTACTTAGTAAGTTACTTACTAAGTACGCAATAACCACTGTCACAGACCTGCCGACACCTATTTATTTTCGGGTTGGTAATGGAATATTACAAGGGCAATGCGAGAAGAATTCAATTTTTCAAAATTTACAAATAATAACGGTAGATTTTACAGTAGTTCGAACAAGAATACTTTTAATTCTAGCAGAAATACGGCAGATTTTCAAATATTTACGTTATATTTTACGGTAGATTTCGGTAAAATTACGATAGATTTTTTACGGTCGTTTTTACGGAAAAAACTGTAAATCTTTTACGGTAGTTTGTCATTTTTTACAGAAAAACGAAAATTGTACGGTAGATTCCCGTAAAAATACGGTAGGTTGGCAGGTATGAGACAATTGGTTGAAAACAAAACAAGAAATAGTAAGCGCAGAAAAATGGTTCAGAGAAAAAATAATTTTAATGTTTTAGTTATCATTGAATCAAATGGTACATATGTATTTAGATCATCATAAAATCTTTCAACCTTTTCAACCTAGATAGGCCAACAATACTGAAAGTTAGCATATTAAGAAATTAATTTGCACGATAAAGAAATTGACGATTTTAAAAAAAAATATTTGATAATCTAAAAATCTTAATCTAAAATGGTAGGAATTCAAATCAAATCAAGTCATGAAAAATAATGTATGATTAAACTGTGTTTTTCAACTATACACTGTGCCTTTAATGATAGGAGCCTTGAGAAGGCCTTGACACGCTTACTATTTATCATTTTGACCTGAAAATAATTGGATTTTTGAGATATATTACAATGATATGAGGCGATGAACGTTTTCATGGCGCACTTGGATGCTTTATTGTAATCGCCTTTTATATAAACATCATACAATTTATATGTCTATGCCGAGGCATTCCTAGACTATATTAAAATCAACAGAATTTATCAAGTGGAACGAGAAGTGACTCAAATTATACCATTTTTTATAATTATTTATGTATCAGACATTTGCTTTTGAAACAGCATCACTCTTGCTCTACATGTGAAATATTAAATGGAAATAACTAAACGCATACATTCCATGGTTTAAAAACTGTTTGACAATGACATATTTTATATCATATTATCTCCAAGCATGGTCATTATATTTTGATCACTGCTTGCATACTTTTATTTATAGATATACGAGTATGCTTTTAAAACAGGATCCCTCTTCGTCTATATACAGGGTGGGCCAAAAAATTTTGCAACCTTTTTAGAAGGCAAAAAAAGTATCATAACATTATGGTATTGACATGAATTTTTTTTTACAGAAACTTAAGGATAGGCATATTTTACCATTCAAATACTTAAGCTAATACTGACATCAATTTTTTTTGTCAGATGTTTGAATATTAATGGTAAATTGTTCATTTGTCCGAGTCCATTTTTCCTAGAAAATCTGACTTTCTATGATTTTATATGATCAACAATAACACATTCATTATGTTTACTAAATCTGCTACAATCTTTGATAACTGTTTAACCAATGTCTAGTACTATATACAGGTTTATATCAGTATCTAGTCACTATGATAATATTGTTACACTGTATTAATTATTTATTAAACAAATGTTCTATGCATCCGCCTTTCACCTTCACAATCACATGGAGACGAGAACTGAACTGGTCAATGGTGAGATCCAGCAGTTCTTGTGGTAGTCGTCTCCACTTATCCTGCAGAACTTCTTATAGTTGATCAATAATTTGTGGGGTATAACCATTAACTACAATACATTGCTCCAGGTGCCCCCATGTGTGATAGTCCCAGGGGTTGGCATCTGGTGTATTGGGTGGCCATTCGACTCAGGACTAATCTTCTTCAAAAGGGACATCTTTCAAGAATGGGGGCTCTTTCAGCCCCAAGTGATTACATATTCCAGCAGGATAGTGCTCCTGACCATAGGCCAAAAGTCACTATGGAATATCTGGAGCAAAATACCCCTTGATTCATTAGTCCGGATGAATAGCCACCCAATACACCACTTAACAAATGATATCGATGATCACATAAAATTATAGAAAATCACATTTTCTAGGAAAATCGGTAAATCTCGGACACATAAACAATTTACCATTAATATTTAAACATCTGACAAAAAAATTTGAAGTCAGTATTAGCTTAAGTATTTGAATGGTAAAATATGCCTATCCTTAAGTTTCTGTAAAAAAAATTCATGTCAATACCATAATGTTATGATACTTTTTTTGCCTTCTAAAAAGGTTGCAAATT